CATAGATAGATTATACATAGATTTATGTCATATGCGTAACACTCACTTTGACACGAAGCATGATTGTAATTAGAACTAGAATTAGAATGAAAAAAGTTCCCTCATGTGTTGGCGGTGGTCATGTCGAACCGAGGGATTGTGGGTGGTGTGTGATAGTCTCAGCAATAGAGAATTTAAATTTTTAAAAAAGATTGGGGCGGTTGAGTTTCCCGCTCTCTGTGCTCGCTGTTTTCCCGCCAAGCTGGCCTCTCTGCGTTGCTGAGGAAACCCCGGTAAGGCGGCCGAAGCTGCACCAGCCGAGCCCGGGCCCTCGTCACAGAGGCCCAGGCCCCTCCACAGGGCGTCCCGCCCAGGAGCGGCGCCCGCTCTTGAAGCCATCGGTGCCGAACGCCCTGCGCAAGCAAACGCCCCGCCAGCCTCACCGCCCCAGCCTCGCGGCCTCCTCGGTGGACGTCCACCCCCACAGCCCCGGTGACCAGGCCTCGGAAGGAGTCTGTGGATGAACTTGTTTTGTCTGACGTTTCTGTTCGTCGTGTTTTGTGTGACGGCACTGAGGCCGCTGCACCCAGAGGGTCCTCAACGCCTGTGTCTCCGAGCAGAACGGCCCCCTCCCGTCAGTGCCCCCCCCCCGCTCCGGGTCCGACTCCGAGGGAGGGGGGGGCACGATCTGCCTTTGCCCGGCCTCCCCCTTCTCATCGTCCCTCGGGCCTCAGGCCCGGGACATGGCCGGCCCCGGGGGAAAGAGAACTCCCTAACAGTCACTCTGCGGACGGGCTTCTGAAGCAAACGTGCTTCTGCCAGGCTGTCCCTCGGAGAGGCCTGCCCATGTTCCCGCTCCTGGGAAGCGGTGTTTGTTAAGATCTCATCTCAACTCCCAGGGTGGGGGGTCTCGGGGACCCACAGGGGCAGCCCCTTTCCTTCAGAGATAAACTGAGCCGGGAGAGACACGCCGGCCTCGGCACGGAGTCGGCGAGGGCGAGGGGCTGAGTCAGGACCGACGCCCAGGCTCCCCAACTCTAGGCCCTTCTCACCCCGAGTCACACGGTTATTGCAGTAACACCACCCGGAAGCCCATCCCCCTGCCAAACCGGCGAACGCCTACTCACCCTTCCAGTCTCAGCCTGACGCCACCGCCTCCGGGAAGCCTTCCGGGCTCTCCCAGAAGATGGATCAGACGCACCCCCTGGGCTCCCTCAGGCCCAGCCCCCTCCTGCAGGGCCCGCTGTGGTCCCAGCTGCCTGCGGGATCTCCCCGGGCCTGGGAGCCCAGCGCTGGAGAGGAGGGGGAGACAGGGTCTGTTCGTCCGTCCATGTGCTCGTGCCAAAAGCTCCCTGCCATTTGTTCGTTCATCCATTCATTCATTCATTCACTTTAGAAGGAGCAGGTGCTGGGTGCCGGGTGCTGGGTGCTGGGTGCTGGGTGCTGGTGCCGGAGGGCGGAGGCTTGGGGTTGGGTAAGGAAAGAAAGAAGCCAGAGCGGGGAGATTCCAACAGCCCCAAGGCGTTAGAGACGGGCCCCTCCTGACAGGCCCCCGCCCCGTTGACAGGGAGCCGAGGTCTGAGCGCTGGCTGTGGGGCCAGGACCCAGAGAGGCTGCGCTGAGAAAGGGGGGCCCGGAGGCCGGGAGCCTGGGGGTTCAGTCCCCCCCGCAGGCCCGGCGAGCCGCGTGCTGGGGAATTCACCTCACCGCCCCCCCCTGTCCTGCATCTGGGAAATGGGCCCGGCCAGGTCGGCCCTGCGCCCCCTGCTGGTGGCTCCTCTGCTCAGTCAGCACCAGCTCTGGCAGAGCGCGTCCAGCCTCAGCTGCAGAAGCAGCAGAAGAGAAACCGTGATTCACACACGCGTGGGGCCGCGGGGCCCTGGGCGTGGGAGGCCTGCAGCAGGCCCGTGGGGTGGGGGAAGGCAGGGGGTTCATGCAGGGCAGCTGCTGGGCCTCCAGGCTCAGCCCCAGGGAGGAGGCTGTGGGGAGGGGAGGCCGGAGCTGACCTGCCCTCACACTCTGGGGGGGACCCTGAGAGTCACAAGCCCCTCACGACGCTATGGTGGAATCTTCCGGAAGCCTGCAGTGCACACACCATCTTAGAGGGAGAGGATCAGGCCCAGGAGGGGAAATGACCTGCCCAAGGTCACCCGCCTCGTCAGACCGGAGAGCCGCTGCCCGCCTTCCCCTGCCGCCCCCCGGAGATGTCCGTCGCCACACAGGCGGGGCTACAGTCACGGTTGCGGTTGCGGTTGCGGTTATAACTATGGTGCCCGGAGCCCTCACTCTCAGCCCTGCTTGTGCTCGCTCCGCACCTGCTCTCTGCCCGCCTTGCCTGCTGACACCACAGCCCCAGCTCCCAACAGCGAGGGGCTCAGGGCTCAGGGCTCAGGGGCCAGGACGGCGGGGAGGACAGGCCCTGAGGAGGCCCCGCCCCCTGGGACGCGGGGACGTGGACACACTGAGCCACGGGGAGCCAGGCCCCTGCCCAGTGCCCCCCCCCGGCCCCCCGAGCCCTGGCATCGGCACCATCGCATTCAAGAGACCCTCCAGGTTCTGGAGCAGAGAACCCCCCCCTCCATGTGACCCCCACCCCCTCCATGTGAGCCCCACCTCCACCGTGTGAGCCCACCCCCTCCATGTGACCCCCACCCCCTCCATGTGAGCCCCACCTCCACCGTGTGAGCCCACCCCCTCCGTGTGAGCCCCCCCTCTATGTGAACCCCCCTCTATGTGAACCCCCCCCTCCGTGTGAACCCCCCCTCCATGTGAGCCCCACCCCCTCCATGTGAGCCCACCCCCTCCGTGTGAGCCCCACCCCTTCCGTGTGAGCCCCACCCCCTCCGTGTGAGCCCCACCCCCTCCGTGTGAGCCCCACCCCCTCCGTGTGAGCCCCACCCCCTCCGTGTGAGCCCCACCCCCCCTCCGTGTGAGCCCACCCCCCATGCCACAGTGAGGCAGGGGTGGGTCCCGGAACAGGAGCACTGGCAGGGGTCACCGGCCCCTCGTTACAGACAAGCAGCTGAGGCCTGAGGCCACGTGCAATGTGGGCTGAGTGGCCCTCGGCTGCCTGCTCGCCCCTCCGCTGCCCGCCCAGGTCCATCCAGTGCTCTCCCCTCCTTCCCCTGCCCAGCGCCCGCCAGGATCTGAGGAGCAGGAGCAGGAGCACGGTTGGGGAGGGGGTGCTGCAAGGTCTGCTCCCCGCAGGGGCCCCACCCCGGGCCTGGCCGTCACGGAGTTAGTCAACAAACTCTCCAAGGCTCCTCCTGCCTGTCTCCACGCAGAGGCACCTCCTGGGGCCGCCGGGCACCAGTCTCCGGGGACCATCTCACACATCCGTTCACTCATCCCTCATTCATTCATTCAGCAGTCACTGAGGTCCGAGTATGCACCAGGCACATGCAGGGTCTCCTCTCCTCCCCACACCCCTCCCTCTCTTCCTCCCTCCCTCCCTCCCTCTGTCAGCTCCGCCCGACCCCCTTAGCCCTGTGGCCCCTTTGCCCAGGCAAAGATGGGGTGCTGGGGCGTCCAGGGGCCCAGAGGAACCGAGGCCGCCGTGGGTGTCCCGCGGACAGATGCACACGCCCCGGGTTACCTGTGTGGCCAGGGCAGCCGAGCCGCCTCTCCAGCGGAGGCCCAGGAGCACTGGCACGGCCCTGGGGGCTGCCCCCCCCCCCCCCCCCCCCGCCTGTGGCCTCCGCCCGGCCGGGCGCATGGAAAACCCAGCCCGGCCCGCTGACTTCCTCTCGTGTCATGGAAAGTGAGGGTGACGAGGGCAGGAAACTCCCGCCAGGGTCTGGGGTCTGAGTGGGGACAGGGGTCCTGAGGCCTGGAGGGGGGGAGAGAGGTAACGGAGGGGGTGTGGGCTGCAGGGAGGGGCGGCTCGATGAGGCAGAGGAGGGGGTCTGGGGGCTGCTGGCGGGGGAGGCTTGGGGGGGCAGTGCCCCATCCAGGGGGACAGGCAGGGACCAGCCCGAGGCCGAGGCGGGGACAGCAGCCCAGGCCCGGCTGCCTCAGTTCTCCGGGGACAGACAAGGGAGAAGCCGAGAAGCCGAGGCCTCGCCCACGGGAGACCCCGAGGCCACAGAGGCAGCAGCTGCGTTTGGTGAGCGGAGGGCGGAGGGCGGAGGGCGGAGGGCGGAGGGCGGAGGGCGGAGGGCGGTGGGCGGAGGGCGGAGGGCGGGCCCGGGCTGTGGATGCAGAGATGGGGCTCAGACCTCCGTGCTCACGCTGCAGGCCAAGGGGGTCCCTGCAGGGCCTCAGTTTCCTCATCTGTGACAGGAGAACACCGCGCCCTCCTCAGGGCGCTGGGAAGACGGGGAGGCGCCCCAGGCTCTCCCAGGGGGCTCAGCACCAGTCTTCGCCCTCAGACTGCTGCGGTGGGAGCCCATGGCGTCAGCTGTGGCCGCTCCCGGCAGCTGGTGTGGGCGCGGCTGGTGGGGCCAGCGAGTGCTCCTCCTGCCCTGAACTCCCCCCCTCTCCAGGGGGGGGACCGTGGGGGGTGGGGTGGGGGAACAGGTGTGCCTGGCGCTTGGCCTGGGACAAAGATGCACCGCCAAATTAATGAACGAACAAATGAATGAAAATCCTGGGATTTCCAGGGTCCAGGACAGAGGGACGGAAGGACGGCCGTGAGGGCGGGACCCATGCAGGGGGGAGTGGCGGGGGGGGGGGCGCTGGCTCCAGGTCGCGGCAGTGTCACCTCCAAACCCTGCGAGGTGGGGCGTGTGACCCCAATCACACCGGTTAGGAGGGTCCCCACTCCCTGAGCCCAGGCCTCCCCCCGAGGAACAGACACCCCAGGCCGCCCGCCCTGGCACCGCGGCAGGAAGCTGGCAGAGCCGGGCCGCCATGGAGGGGGACAGGTGGTTTCACCAGGAGGAAGTTGACAGTTCAACTTCAAACGCGGGTGGGGGGCCGCTGTGCGCGGGTGCCACCCTGCCCACGCGGCCGCCCCGCCCCTTGGGAGGGAGACACGGCGGCTCAGCTGCTGAGCTCAGGCGGAGGCAGGAGGAGCCGCCATGGAGTCCCAGCCGCCGCTGGCCGCCCTCTGCCTGCTGGCGGTGCTGGGTGAGTGCCCCGGGCATCCGCCCGGGTCCCCGGGCTCGGGGTGCAGGGAGGAGGTGCCCGTGCGCCCCTGGGTCTGACTCCAAGGCCCGCGGGCACCTCTCTGGAGAACCATGCGGGGGGTGGGGGTTCCCCAGATCCCGGTCTGAGCCCCCAGCCCGGACTGCGCCGCCTGGAGCCCGGCCGGCCCTCCCTGCCCTGTGGCACCTCCCCCCCAAGGCCACGGGGAAGGGCAGGTGGGCCCCGTGCTAACGGGCTCTCAGCACGGAACCAGGTCCGAGGCCCTCCCTCCCCGCGGCTCCCGGCTCGGCCTCCCTGCCCGGTGCACGGGCCGGGCTCGGACCGGACGGGCCATGGGCCTGATGGTGCGGCGGTGGCTGGGTGGCGGGATCCCGCCGAGAGCACGCTGAGCGGTGCGAAGAGGCACTCAGGCCCCGCCCTCTGGGTCCGGCCTAGGCGCAGCCAGCCCGCCGGCCAGGCCCCGGCCCCGGCCCCGAAGGCCCTGGGGGGACAGCCGGGCCTCCTGTTTGCGGGCGGGGGGTGGGGGAGGCTTGGGAGTGGGGTCATTGGTTCGGACCATGGCCTGCTGCTGGGCCGGCACCGGCTTCTGAGCACGTGCACCAGGGAAGGGCCCTGAGGCTCTCCCCCACCGCCTCCCGTCCGTGCAGTGCGAGGGGGTGGGGGGTGCGGGGTGGGGGGGAGCCGGCCTAGGTCTGTGTGCTTCTCGGGATTTGGAAGGAGCGGGCAGAGAGGTGGTGGGAGTGGCGGGAGCCAGCCGCTTCCGTGTTAGGACCGTCCTGGGAGACAGTGCTGCTGAGAAGCTGGTGAGCAGGTGTTAGCAGGTGCAAGTGTGTGAGTAGGGGTGTGTGTGTATGTGTATGTGTGTGTATGTGAGTGCATGTGTGTGTGTGTGTGGTGTGTGTATGTGAGTGCATGTGTGAGTGTGTGTGTGTGTGTGTGTGGTGTGTGTGTGCATGTATTTTCATGGACCAGACGTGCCTCCAAACGCCGTCTCACCGCTCCCTGGTGACCAGCACATGTGCACGCACCTTCCCCCGCTGCTGTGCATGGAGCCGCAGGAGACACGGAAGCCTCTGTCCCGGGCGGAGGTCTGGGGGCGCCTTCTGCTGCCCGGGGCCTCTGAGGAGCTGCTGCGGCCTCCTTGGGCCCAGGGAGTCCTAGGCCTGAACCCCACCTGCCCTTCCCCGTGACCTCTGACCCTGCCGAGCAGGGCGTGGGGTCCTGCTTCATGGCCTCCCTCCACCTGATCCCGTCGTGGGAGGTCCTGGCAGGACACAGGGCCACGGCCGAAGGAGCCACAGTTAGAGATCGACGGGAACCGCCCGGGACCCCAGAGCATGTGGTCGTAGTGTGTGCGTGTGCGTGTGTGTGTATATGTGCGCATGTATGTGTGCACGTGTGTGTGTGTGTGTGTGTGTGTGTGTGTGCTGGTGGAAAACAAACATTCCCGTTGCTCCGTGGGTCACAGCTTAGGAAATGCCTTTGAAGCCATTTCACTCTGTAAGCTCTCAGTGGGCTGAAGTAGGCCAGCCCGTCGTCCCCATTTCACAGGGGAGAAGACTGAGGCCCAGAAAGTCAGGTGGCCAGCCCAGGGCGAAGCAGCTAGTGAGCAGCAGCCGACGGGGCCCATCACGGCTGCTCTGAGGGAGGCCCCTCTGGACCCGGAGCTGAGGGCGGAGGCCACAGGGCAGCTCTGCCAGGAGCGGAATGGCTGCGGACACCACTGCCACCTGTGGGTTTGCAGCCGCCAAGGCCTGGGAGGTCCAGGGCCGGAGCCGCGGCAGCAGCACAGGCCGTGGAGCCGGGCCGTGGGGCAGGCAGATGCCCGTGGCCTGGTTGGGGTGACAGCGACATGGCTTCCCGCGGCTGCTCCCCTCGGCCACTGCCTGAGCCCTAACCTGCCTGGGGCTCACCCGCTGGGGTGGGGGGCGGCCTTGACCCTCACGGCGGGCAGGCCCGGCCCCCAGGCCTCCAGAAGCCAGCATGGCGGGAAGGGCGTGGCCCGCAGTGTGGACTTGGGCCCAGCGGGGTGGGCTCGGGATCTGTCAGCGTCGGTCCCCGCAGACGGGGTGCAGCGCCCGGCCCTGTGCAATGTGTCAGGGCTTAACTAGGGTACACGCCGAGGGTGAGGAAGCAAGTCAGCAGGAAGGAGAGGAAGAGCTCCAGACGCTCGATCACAGTGACCACCATTAGCCTCATCCCTGTCGTCAGCGAGAAGCGAGGTGAGGTGGGACTCAGCGGGAGGGGCCGGGCCCGTGCTGGCCTGGCCACACTCCTCCCAGCCCACCCGCCTGCTCTCACCTGCACGTGTTTATTGAGCACCTACTATGTGCCCAGCTCTGTGCAGAGCAGAACGGGATGGATGCCTCCCCTCATGGGCCTGGAGCCGAGCCTAGGCTGACAGAGGAGCCCCGTTATAGACACAGGAAGCGAGCCCCGAATGCTCCCAGCTATGGTGACAAGGAAACGGCATCGGTGGGGAGAGCGGCCGAGTTCACGAGGGGCAGCCTGGCCACAGGGCGGGGCATCCCAGTGAGGAGGGCGCGGGCTCCAGCTGCCAGCAGGCCTCCAGGGGCTGTCCGGCTGCCGAGTGGGGGCCCTGCTGGCATTGGGCACAAGGGATCGGGCCCCCTCGAGGGGCAGAGGGACCAGGGGCTGTTCAGAGGGGTTTTCTCCAGAGGGACCAGGGAGGGATTCAACTCCGCCTGGCAACACTGACTGAACACCTACTGTGTGTGTGTGTGTGTATGTGTGTATGTGTGTGTGTGTGGGCGCGTGCATACATGTGTGTGCATGTGCACATGTGGCGTGCATTTGTGCTGTGGGCTGTGTGTGCAGGTGTGTGGTGTGCACATGGCTCAGGCTGTGGGGCTTGGAGCAGCACAGATCTGGGTTTGATTTCCGGGTGGCCAGGCACAGCTGGCAGGGACACGTCCCGGGGGCTGGTCTAACAGTGGGGCACCCCGGCCGCCTGGGAAGGCTCGGAGCCATCACCCCTAACCGTCCACAGCCACTCAGACAAGTGTGGACTGAGCCCCTCTGTGCGCCAGGCACCGCTCCCAGCGCCGGGGACGAGGGCCCCGCCTGGTGGGTCCGACCTTGCAGTCGGTGTGATGGGGGACAGACACAGACTAGTGGCCAGTGACTGCGGGGAGCGGGGGTCGGCGTCCTGAGCGGCGGGGTCATGGGGCTGGAGTGCCTGGGGCTGTGCTGTGCCTGGGAGGGAGCCGGCCTCACGGGGAGATGGTGGAGGAAATCTGGCAGGGAGGGTGCCGTGCTGGGGTGCAGGCCAGCCTGGGGGACCCCTGGCCGAGGGGCTTCAGGGAGGACGGGGCCGTTCTCCCCATGGAGCTGGGCGGCGGGAGAGTGTGCTGAGCACCCGTCTGTCCGGGACACAAATCCCTGGCTGAACCCCGGCAGCTGCTTGGGGGTTCGCGTTTTGCGGGGGTAGAAGGTAAATGCCCGGTGATCCCCGCCAGCCAGGTCTGCGGCGGGAACCCACACTCAGGGACCTGGAGGCCTCAGACCCACAGAGAAGCGGTGGGAGGATCAGGGTCTGCGTTTTGAATGGCAGCTGCGGGCTGTGGCCGCTTTCTCTGTAACCATCGTCACCGTGAACCCCCTCGGGCTGGCCTCCCACAGGCACCCAGCACCCCGTTCCCTCTGGGGCCACAGCACTTCTCGGCCTCAGTTTCCCCTTCCTGACCCGCAGGGCGAGCAGGCTCTGGGGTCTCCCCAGGGTAGATGCCCACGGGGCCCTGTCAGGCGATGGTGACGGCTTTTCTGTCTTGACTCCGCCATGAGCTGTGTGACCTCAGGAAAGTCACTCAGCCTCTCTGAACCCCTTAAAGTGGGGTGAGCCTGGTCCCTTCGGCACGGGAACGTGGGGGGGAAGAATGAGCCCCCGTGTGACCGAGCCTCGGGATACGTGAAACTCTGAACAGAGAAGGGGACAGGGGGGGCACACGTGAGACACAAAACTCCTGCAAATCCAGTGAGCCGCCCGGCCACCGGGAGAGTGCCAGGGCCGCTCTGCCCCACCGGCTGGCTCTCGGGCCGCGGGCACAGACCCCGGTGAGCGGGGAGAGAGGCCCAAAACGGCTGCCCCCTCCACGGGCTCCAGTTCTCACACTCCCCGGCGGGAGCCCTGTGTGATCCTCTGCGTGTTTCACACATATAAAAGCTCCTAATCAGACACCCATCCCTTCTTCTGGGTTCGGCCGGGACACAGAACCGGGGCCCCGGGAGCCCTGTTCCCCAAGGCGCTGGCACAGACGCAGGTTGGACGCGGCTCCCTGCCTGGGGCCCGCCGGGAAAGGGGGGTTCCTGACCTTCCAGAGGGCGGGAGAAGGCAGACCCAGGCCGCCCACAGGCCGCCAGACAGATGGGGTTCGCTGGAAATCCAGAGGGTCATGGATCATTGCTTTTTGTTGTTATTGTTTCATATATATATATATTTTTTTTTATTTTATTGATTTTTTATAGAGAGTAAGGGGGAGAGATAGTTAGAAACATTGATGAGAGAGAAACATTGATCAGCTGCCTCCTGCACACCTCCTACTGGAGATGTACCCACAACCAAGATACATGCCCTTGACCGGAATCGAACCTGGGACCTTTCAGTCCGCAGGCCGACACTCTATCCACTGAGCCAAACTGGTTAGGGCAAGTTGTTTATATATATATATATATATATATATATATATATATATATATATATATATATATATTTATTGATTTCAGAGAGGAAGGGAGAGGGAAAGACATCAACGATGAGAGAGAATCACTGATTGCTGCCTCCTGCATGCCCCACACTGGGGATCAAGCCCACCACCTTGTCCAGAATCAAACTTGGGACCCTTTGGTCCGCAGGCCGACGCTCTAGCCAATGAGCCACACCAGCCAGGGTGAGGGGATCACTGTGGATGGGAAATGGACCATCTGACTTCCGTCCACACGACACCAGGCGGCCAGTGGCCTTGTCTGGGAGCCGGCGATGCCGGCTCGCGACGCTGGCCCCACGGGATGAGGCCGCCAGGGTTTCCGGGTGAGCTCTCTCCGCCGAGGCCCGAGCTGTGCCGGAAGGCCGTTCCCACAGACCAGGCAGGCTGTGGGCCCAGCTCCCTCGCCAGCAGGGGCACAGCCTGGGCCAGGCCCTGTCCTGGAAGTCTGAGCCGGGCTGTGCCTTGGGGAGCCAGGAGCCGCGAGAGGCAGTGGGCCCTGGTGTCTGCCCGGGGCACCGGGAACGGCCATTCCGGTTCCCTGGGGTCATGGAGGTTAAACCGTTTGGACTGAAAGCAGCAAACGGGACATTTTTTCTTTGCAACCCAAGGCCCAAAAGCGTCGCTACCCTCACAGCACCCAGAGCGTTCCGACGGCCTCCGTTCCGGTCCATCTCATTTAAAAAAAATCGATGCTTTCGATACTGCTTATCGCTGCCGGGAGGGGGGGGGGGAGGAGGAGAGAGTGGGGGGATGTCTGTGGGGTGAAACTGCTGCAGGCCGCGGCTGTGCTGGTGACCGTGACCTACAGGGTGTCGACATTCACGGGCTTGTGCGCTGAGGAAAGTCCATCTCACCGCGCATCCATTCAAAACGAAGTTTTAGGACGAGGAAGAAGGTGGCGGCCGGCTTCATGGCCCCTGAGGGTGCCCCAGGCCGCAGGAGCAGAGGGAGTTTCCCTCCCTCACCTGGCTCTCTCCCTCCCTCATCTCGCTCTCTCCTTCCTGCAGGCACTGCCACCACTGCTGGCCACGGAGCGTCCTCCTGGGTGGAACCAGGTAAGGAAGAGCTGCCGGGGCCTGGGTGGCAGAGTAGGGAGCAAGGCTGTGCCAACTAAGAAGTCGGTACCACTGCCAGGGTGACCCCCCAGAGAATGAGAGAGAGAGAGAGAGGGTCCCCTACACACACACACACACACTCACTGAACATGCCCGCCCGCACACTAATGTGCTCCATGGCTATAAGGCACCACACACATGCTCGTTCTCATGATCCTTGTTGTGACTCCCTACATGTGCAGAAAGCACGCCCATACATGCACCTTGCCAAGTCCTGTTTCCCGCCCGGTCCGCCGATGCTTCCTGCTCTAGGACTTTTGTAACAGCGACCCCAGACCGTACAGCGGCCGACCGTCCTGCTTTAGCTCCAGAGGCCGGTGTTTCCCGAACAGGGGAACCAGTGCTGGACTCGACCTGTACCCGGGCCTCGTAAAGGCTGAGAAGGCCTGCAGCAAAGAACCCTGTGAAACATTTTTTTAAGTCACCAGACGCGTGTCCCTCAGACCTCTCTCTGCACATTTCCTGAGGCAGCATCATGCTGAATGCACTTGGGGAGCAATGTGGCTGAGGGTCCCACGAAGCCACCAGGAACAGAGGGCCGCAGGGGCCTTGGCGGGCTGGGGACTCGGCCCTGGAAGCACGTGGCACCCCAGCTCCAAGCTCCAGCAAGCCGCCGGGCCTCTCTGAGCAGCTTGGCCCCCCCTGTAAAACGGGGAGAAAACCCTTCCCGGGTCCGGCTTTGGTGGTCAGCGCGCTGGGCTGTGTCCACATCAGCTGTGGGACGAGCCCCCTTTGCTCTAACGAGCCACGTGGCCTGGGCCAGCCCCAGCCCGTGCTCTGGGGCCCGGGTGCCCTCATTGGTGGGCAGAAAAAGGCAGCCTCCCCCAGCCCAGGGAGGGCCCCACCTCACACCCACGCACCACAGCTTCGCCTGTAAGAAAATATTCTGGAACAGGTGATGCTGTTGCGTGGCTCACGCCCTCACACGCAGGAAAGATGGCAGGGGAGAGCCTCCTCTCCATTTCTGACCCCGGCTCTCCCGCTCCCCCCGGCAGGCCCCGCACACTCCTTCCCGCAGAGCTTTCCTGACTCGTATGCAAATGCAAGCATGGTCCTTCCTGCTTCTTCCTGGAGCCTCAGGGAATCACACAGCGTGTCCCTACCTAGGACCCGCAGCTCCATGTCCAGCTGGTCCACCAGAAAGGGGAACCCACAGAGACAGGAGGGGTACAGGATGCTCACAACCGCCCACACCGGGAAGCAACCCAAATGGCGGAGGGAAACACGAGCTGTGGCCTCGCCACACGGTGCACAATGCCACGGATGAGCCAGCCACACGCAGCCACACTGAGACGCTGCGTGAGGAAGCCAGGCGGGAAAACACACACACACACACACACACACACACACACACACGCCGCATGACCCTGCTTCCAACCTTCTGGAGCCGGCAGGCTGATCTGCAGTGACAGGAAGCAGATCGGTGGTGGCCCGGGGCTGGGTGGGGTGATGGAAATATTCTATTTCTAGAGCGGGTGGTGAGGGGGCACGCACACATGCCTGATGCCGCCGAGCACGTGCCCTCCCAATGAGTGCGTTTCACTGTCTATAAATCGCACCCCAATACGATGGATTTAAAATCGAGAGAGATAGAGAGAGAGAGAGAGAGAGAGAGAGGAGAGAAGCGGGCACCCGGCCTCTCTCGGGTCTGTGGAGACAAATGTCCCTGATCGGGCGATCCCGCTGGCCTGGTGCCCAGGGCCCTGCCCACTGACCGAGTCACCCTGGCTCAGAGATCTGCATCCCAACCTCCCGACCCCGGCTTCGGGGGTCGCCTGGGCCAGGAGCAGCCCCAGCCTGAGTCGTGGGGAGTCCCTGCTGTGCCCCAAAGGGCGCACTCACAGGGGCCGGCAGGCAGCCCGGGGGCAGGAGCCTGGCTGGGTGGGGGGCCAGGCGGAGAGCATGGCATGGGGTAGTGGGAGGCCCTCCCCAGCCTGACCCGCCTCCTCTTTGACCCCTAGGGCTCCAGGTGGAATTGAACGGCACCAGCTCGCCGTGCCAGGGCCGCGTGGAGGTCTTTCTGGAGGGCCTGTGGCACACAGTGGACAGCCGGAGCTGGGGCTGGAGCCCGGGCCGCCCGTGGTTCCCCAGCATGGCCGCCCCACTCTGTCGGCGTCTGGGCTGCAGGGAAGCCTTGCTCCTCGCCCCCATCCCTTACTTCCGCAGCCTCCCCAGACCCCGGAACCACATCACCTGCCACGGAAGGCTGGGCTCCTTCTCCCACTGCAACGCCAGCGAGGCCAGCCAGGGGGAGCCCCTGAGCCTGATCTGCGTAGGTGGGTTCCCTTGGCCTGGGCACGCTCTGAGGAGGCTGCCTCCTCAGGGGCCCCAACAGGCGGCTGGAAGGGGGTCCGGTGGGGAACTGGAAGGGGAAGGCGAGGGATTCTGGCTCCTGTTCAAAAGGATGGAAAAGGCTGAGGACCTGCTAACTCCACTGTCTCCTCCTAACCTCCGTTTTCCCAGCTGTAAAAGGGGCTGGTACCGCCACTCACGGGAGACTTAAGAGACAACGTGAGGGGCAGGCGGTATTTACAGCATGAGTTCCAGGTCCTGCTCACCACTGCCTGCTGCCCTCCGTCCCCCACACCCCCTCTTCCCTCCTCCCAGATCTTCTCCCTCCCAGGCCCCTGCCCCTCCCTCACCCGTGTCTCATTGCAGAGCCACTGAAGACGGCCCCTCCTTCCACAAGGTCTCTGCCCACAACCACCCCAGAGCCCACAGGTAAGAGGTTCTGAGGCCCCGGGGGAAAGGGTGTCGGATTTAGCGATTAAACACAGGGGGTGCCCAGTTAGGTGCGAATCTCTAGTGGAACATTCGGGCCCTCACACTTCCCAGGGCCACCGGCCAGTCGTTCCTTTGTCCCAGTGTTGGAGCCAAGGGTCCAGGAGCAGGGGGGCCCATTGCCCGAGGCCCTGGCGCTCAGACGCACCCTCTGCCCTCCCCAGCTCCTCCCCGGCTGCACCTGGTGCCGGGGCGCGGGGGCCTGCGGTGTGCGGGTGTGGTGGAGTTCTACAGCGGCCGCCTGGGCGGGACCGTGGCCTATGAGGACCAGGACAGCACCGAGGCCCTGGGGGACCGCATCTGCCAGGCCCTCCAGTGTGGCTCCTTCCTGAAACACCTGCCGGAGCCCGAGGCAGCCGAGGCAGCCGGGACCCCGGCCCCAGAGGCGCGCAGGCCCTTGCCCATCCGATGGAAGGCCCAGAACGCCAGCTGTGCCTCCCTGGAGCAGTGCTTCCGAAGAGCCCAGCCCTGGGAGGCCGGCCGAGCCCTCGCCCTCGTCTGCTCTGGTGAGTGAGACGGGCAGGACCCAGGGCATCCCCAGACGGCCAGGCACCACGCGATCCCCAGAGCCTGCCTGTAGCACAGGGCAGGCGAGGCGCACTGTGAACAGGAGGGCAGCAGGGGGCGCTGTCGGCCTCTGAGTGAGTGTGTGTGTGCGTGTGTGTGTGTGTGTGTGTGTGTGTGTGTGTGTGTGTGTGTTGGAGGGATGGAGGGTGGAGGGGTGGAGGGTGGAGGGGTAGCAGGTAGAGGGTGGAGGGGTGGTGGGCAGAGGGGTGGAGAGTGGAGGAGGGTTCCCCCCCCCCACCCGACGTCACAGCCCGGGCCGAGGGAATCTGCAAAGCAGAGCAGACGGCCTGACCCCTGGCACAGGGGCAGGCGGCCCTCGGGACTGGAACTGCCAGGAGGCGGCTGGTCTCCTGGGTGGTTTTGAAGGAGGGAGCGGGTGGAGTGAAGGAGGGAAGGTTCTAGCGGGAAGCGTGGCTGTGCTGGGGCCGGAGCAGGACGAGCCTCCCGGGAGGGGAGTTTGGAAGCCCCAGACACGGACAGGGTCGCAGGGACAGTGGGAGTGGGAGGCCCGGGAGCCGTCCCCAGAGGGCCTCCCGCGGAGACGGAGCTGGCGTGGCCGAGGGATGGTGGCCGATGAGGCTGATCTGCGGGCCCCCCCACACCAGGGTCAGAAGGAAACTGAGGGGAAGGGGATGCAGCTCCAAACAGGGAAGGATGGTCCTGGCCTGCCGGGTGGGCAGGGCTGCTGTCGGAGGGAGGGGGTGGAGTCCGAACCAACGCTGCCTTCCAGGCGGAAGCAGCCCCCGAGGGTCTCAGCGCCCCCCCACCAGCCCCCTGCGGGTAGCAACCTGCCAACCATACCCAGGGGCCGGCCTTTCACAGTTGTTCGAAGGAGGAGATGCTCTAGGGCTTTGAAGGCAGATGTTGCCATGGAAACTGGCCAAAGCTGGTGCGATCACAGCTCCTCCGAACGGAGCAGTGGGGCCCCATCCTGAGAGTGAGCAGGAGGGTCCGCCTGCCCCTCCTCTACGCAGGGCATTCCTGGCTGCTGTCCCACCTGCCATTGGCCAGGACTTGGGCCTCAGTTTCCCTTTCTGAAAAGGCACAGAGGAGAGGGAGAGGACATGTCCACCTCCCCTGCTCTCCCCTCAGTGCCACGTGGGCAGGGCCAGCTGCTGGCAGCTGCCAGAGAGGATGCCTGGCGCAGGGAAGGGCAGAAGGTCGTCCCACAGCATGCCCAACCCCCTGCGAGGTGGCCCCCGGCGGCCGGCCTGCGGGCCTGGGCCAGGGGCTTCCTGCAAAGCCGCCACCTCTCCTCCTTGCTTCCTCCCCCAGATTTCCAGCCCCAGGTGCAGAGCCGCCTGGTGGGGGGCCGCGGCGTGTGCGAGGGGTCCGTGGAGGTGCGCCAGGGCCAGGGCCGGCAGTGGGAAGCCCTGTGCCACAGCCCCTCGGCCAAGGGCGCGGCGCGGTGGGCGGAGGTGTGCCGGGAGCAGCAGTGCGGGCCCGTCAGCTCCTACCGGGCGCTGGAGGCCGGCGAGAAGGCCACGCGGGGGCTCGTCTGCCCCGGGGAGAGGCTGTCCCAGTGCCACCAGCTCCAGGAGCGGAGAGCCCACTGCAAGCGGGTGTTCGTCACGTGTGAGTGGGCCACAGCCCCACGGGCGGAGGGCGGTCCTGGGCTCCCCGTTAGGGCCCGGTCAGGAGCACGTTTCCGAAGAACAGGCCCCGGAGCTGGACAGACTCCCAGGCTCCCCGAAAGGAGATGGCAAACGGGGGGCCGAGGGGGCAGCAGTGCTCAGATGCAGTGAGCGGTGAAGAAGGTGGAGTCAAGCAGGGGACCGAGGGAGCGGATTAGCTGCAGGAGCGGAAACCGGGTAGCACGTCAGAGAGAAGCGAATATCGTATATGACCACGTGCTGGGGCCACGTACAACGGCGAGGGCAGAAAGCTCAATAATTGGTTACAGAAGTGGCAAGTGACAGCTGTCAGGTGATAAAAAGTCGAGGGGTGAATGTGTAGCCAGAATCCCGGAGGCAGCGGAGAGGCGGCCAGACAGACGCATGGGCCGGGGACTCCCTGGCAGAAGCCAGCCAGCAGCCACCCCCGGAGTGGACAGGTTTGATAGAGGGATGGGGCCACCCTGACTCCTCTGTCCCCCCCTTCGCCCCCCAGGCCAGGACCCCAACCCGGCGGGCCTGGGCACCGGCACGGTGATGAGCATCGTCCTGGCCCTGGTGCTGCTGGCTGTGCTGCTGGTCACGTGCGGGCCCCTTGCCCACAAGAAGCTGAAGAAATGTAGGTGCAGGTGCCCCCGCGACCCCTCTCAAGGCCCTGAGTGGGGGGACGAGGAGGGCCCACCTCTGCTTCCCCCACACACCTCCCCCCTCACTCACCCCTTCTCCCTCGCCCACTGGCCTTTTTCTGCCCAAAGTAGCAAACAGGAAGTCAGGAAGCTGTAGTTGCTGATTCACCCACGTGGGGGCCCAGCTGAGAGAGGGTGGGCCATTCTTTAGGGGTAACAGGCCCTGAGGGGCGCCTGCACGGCCTGACCTCAGGAGACATGTGTCCTGGGCCGAGCCGCCCCACAGTGTGCACGATGGTGACCAGCCCCCTCCTCTCTGAGCCTCAGTTTCCTCAGCTACCAAACGGTGCTGCTCCCCGTGAGGAACGTACACAGCGGGCCGTGCTCCGTCCTGCAGAATGCAGGAGCTCAGAGAGGGCGTGAGGTTGAGGGGCTGCGAGGGCAGGCCGAGACGCAGGCCGGCGGGTCCCCCCCAAATCCCCCCGACCCCCGCCGCGCTCCCAGGTTCTGGTGCAGACCGTTGAGCGGACAAACAGCGCCTCTAGCGTGGGATGAGTGCAGCTTCCTGCCCAGCGAGTCAGAAATCAGAGGCCCCCGAAGAGTCCAGCAATGCCCCCGCCCCCGCCTCCCCCTACACCCCCCACTTCATCTACTGTCTGACGTGCTTTCCGGTCCGCCGCCCAGGCCGACAGAAGAAGCAGCGCCAGTGGATTGGCCCGACGGGGCTGAACCAGAGCAGTAAGTGCCCGGAGGCAGGTCCCGGGGTCTGCAGGAACGGGAGGCAGGGATGGGGCTCAGGTGCAGCTGGCTGGCCCACCCAAAGCTGCCGTAGGTCTGAGCCCGTCCAAGAAGCAAGAAGAGGGGGGCAGGCTGGGGAGCGTGGGAGCAGGGGAGTCAAGCTCTGGGCCCCGCTGGGCAGAGCAGCAGGTGTAACGGCGCCTCTCCGACTGTCCGTCCGCTCAGTGTCCTTCCACCGCGATCCCGGGACCACTGTCCGCCGGTCGCAGGTGGAGAACCCCGCCGCCTCGCACCTGGAGAACGAGTACAGCCAGCCTCCCAGGAGCTCCCAGCTCTCCGCGTACCCAGGTGGGCGCGGGGCGTCCCGCCAGCTGGGCACAGGGCATGGGGCCGGGCAGAGGTCATGGTCACCCAAAGGGAAGGTGTCTGGGGAGAGGAGAGCTGGCCTGCCCACGCTCATGGCCGGGGGTGGAGGGATCCGGCCCACAGGCCACTCAGCCGGAGAGGCCACAGCGCAGGCTGTGCCCATAGCCCGTTCTCTGCGGCCTCACAGCCGGGTGGTCACCAGGCAGAGCAGCCGCAATGGCTGAGGGAGCCCTGTGAACAAGCTCCCTGACCTCCTGACCCTAAAGCCAGGGGTCCCCACACTGCAAGCTCCCTGACCTCCTGACCCCAAAGCCAGGGAGCCCCGAGTTCAGCATCCTTAGTCAACATTTCGCTGATTTGATCAAAACAGACCCAGGCCCTCTGATCTTCCACACCCGTGGGCTGGGCTCGGGGGGCTCTGGGCTGGTGGGGGGCTCTGGGTTCCGGGGTGCTCTGGGATCTGGGCTCCGAGGGCTCTGGGCTGGTGGGGGGGCTCCGTTGGTGTAGCTGGTGGGTCAGCCCCGAGGTGGCCTTTCTGCCCGCAGCTCTGGAGGGCGCCCTGCATCGCGTGTCCGCCCAGCCCGATAACTCCTCTGACAGCGACTACGACCTGCACGGGGCTCAGCGGCTGTGAGAGGTGAGCGCCCCCCCTGAAACCCCCCAGGCCCCCAGATAAGCAGCAGCACTGGGTCCCTGCCTGCCCGCCCATGACAGGGCTCCCAGCCTTGGCTCACGTCAGGGAAAGAATGAACATCCAGGGTGAGGGAGTGACCTGGCAGGCAGAGCGGGGACTCGAGACCTCCATACCACCTCCCTCCCTCTGTCCGGGAGCCCCCCCCCCCCTCTCAGAAGGGTCGCCCTGACCCTGACACTGAGCCCATCTTGGGGTGAGGTCCTGTCTCTGACCCGTGTCCTTCTCACCCACAGACCCAGGAACGGAGCGAACATCGGGAGCCAGCCTGGGTCTGAGAATGCCCTGCCCTGCCTCTGCCGCTTGAAACACGCCCGACTCCTCCCCGCGGCCATGGACGAGGTCTGCCTCCCCCACCCAGCCTGCCCGCCCCGCAGAGCCGCCCAGGGGAGCCGCAGGACCGCTGGCAGCCTGGCAGCTGAGGGCAGAGCCCGCCAGCCAGCAGCCCCCCGAGTAGAGACGGGGGGAGGGGGGAGGCCCTGGGAACCCCACCTGGCCTGTGGGAAGCTCCTCCCTCACATGGGCCCCGCGAGGACTGACGGAAGCACACACAGGGCCGGCGTGGGAGCCGAGGTCTCTGTGTATTTAACATGCTCTTTGTACATAACGGCTTTCCTGCTTCCTGAGGACTGAGTGCCCAGCTCCTCCATCCCTGCAGGAGGCGAGCAGCCCTTGTGGTCAGAGCTGCCCCCGGACCCGGACAGCCTAGCAGGCCGAGGCGGCGGGAGCAGGGCGTGGTGTGGGTGCCCCGACTCCACGTGGCCACCTCACCCAGCGCCCCAGCACCCCCCATCCATGGCTCCCTGACTGCCCCTGCTTCCAGAGCTGGCTGTCACAACCCAGGCCCAGGGCCCCCTCAGACCCTGCACAGGGGGCACCTGGCAAACCTGAGCCGACGTGGGGAAGTGCCAGGCTGCAGGGGTCACGGTCACCTCCTGCTGCAGTGAGAGCCGGGGCTGCGCTTTCCTGGGGCCAGAGAGCTGCTCCCAGGAAGTCTCGCCGTCAGCGGGGCCGGCTCCCAGCGAGTCCTGCAGTCCTGGGGTTCCTTAAGGAGAGAGGAGGGCGGGTGGGCCTCGCTGGCCCCGGGCATCAGAGCCCCCGGGCACGGGCAGCAGCCTGAGGACGCCGTGGGTCTGGGCCCACACCCAGGGCCCAGCCGCCCAGCCACCCTGGGGAGCAGCAGGAGCAGGGTGACTATTCGATGCTGGGGAGAGGGATGCCCTCAGTGCCAGGCCAGAGGGCCTGGTGAGCACTCTGCTCCACAACACCCTCCCCCAGGCTTCCGCCTGCCCCGCTCAGGGGCCCAGCCCAGGGCAGCCTGGGCCCATCCAGTGCTGGGCGGGGGAGGGTCCTCAAAAGGAAGGGGGGCCACTCAGGGCGGCAGAGGGTGTGCAGCAGGTGCCCACCACAGCCTCTTCGCCGGAAGCTCCTTCATCTCCTGCTTGGCCCATGCAGCCCGGCCTGAACCCCTGCCCCAGAGCTGCCCGGGGCAGACGCCTCCTTAGAGACGGCTTTCTGAGGGCAGCAGGTGGTGAATCCCAAAAGGGTCTGCCTAAGGACCCGCCGGGAGTCCCCCCAGTTCTAGCCTTGGCGGGTGGGCCCAGCCCCAGCCCCAGCCCCGGTCAGGATGACGCCAATCGGCAGGGAGCGCTCCCAGGGGCTCCTCGGCCCTAAAGGATGCTGGCGGCCTCCACAGTGACCCGGCGCCCCTGGGCCCACTCCTCACAGCCACTGCCCGACCAGAGCGGGGCGCCCTCAGCCAGAGAGGGCAGCTCCCTGTGCGGCCGGCCCCCCTGAACCGCGCTTCCACCTGAGCAGAGGCAGGCGCTCGTGCGCCCGATTCCAGTACATCCTCCTCCTGTGGAGTCAGGGAAACGGAGCACCAGAAGCGAAGCCGGCTTCACGCGGTCAGGCCCGGGGCCTGGGTGTGCGGCTGGGAGGAACCCCGCAGCCAAGGACACCCGATGGCCTTGTCCCAGCTCGCTCAGCTTGTGCGTCCTTGCTCACCCTGATCCCACCTCCTCTTTCTCGTCGGCTTCCCTCTCACGCCTGCCATGTCCACGTCGCAGGGGTGACATTAAGGCAGACAGGCAGGGGACCTCCGAGGCTCTAAGCTTGACCTCAGGGTCCTCCGGCAGCCCGCTCTGCGGCAGGAGGCCCACAGGGGCCCGCTGTGGCCTGGCGGAGGACTCCGTGATTTCCGTGGTGCGTGCCGGTGGGGCGGGCTGCAGAGAGCTAGACTTGGTGTGGGAGAGCCGGGGCCAGAGGGGTGCCAGGCGCTGAGTGAGTGGGAAGCAGCTCTGACTCAAGTCCTTTCTCAGAAAGCGGCACTTCCCTCTGCGCCCCCTGCCCCCTCAGAGCAAGTGCCCTGAGGGTGCCCCGCCACCAGGTGGCCAGCTCTCCCACTAGCCCGGGCATTTGCGAGGCCAGGCCGGAGTCCAGGAGGCAAAGGCGGGACATCTGTAGGGCCCGGGGGTCTCCAGTGTGGGCTCTGACCCCCGGGGCTGTGGTACCATAAGGCATGGAGGGGCCCCAGAGGCAGACAGAGCTGGGTGCCAGTCCCGCCCGCACCCTTAGGCTCTGCACCCCAGTCACTGAACCTCTGCCCTTGCTTAAAATGGGGGGAGGGGCATAGGGCTGCTGAGAGGACCCAATCAGACAGGCACATTGACACATCACACCCACACGGCCCGGCTTTCAACAGGCTGACCGCGCATCCGCCCTCGTCACCTGGCAGGGCAGAGCGGAAGGCCCAGCAGAAACCTGGCCTCCGGGCTCCCGGAAGCCACCGTTTTCCCAGAAGGCCTTGCGATAACCCGCTGAGCTCAGGGGTGCTGGGTGACGGAGGGAGGGGGAAGGGGACAGAGCCCGTGGCAGGGACCACCCGCCTCCTCAGCCAGCTTAGCGGCCCACTGCCCCTCGGTCCCCGTGAGAAACTGGGCAGCAGACAGCTCCCAGTGGGCTCCTGGACAGGCCGACAGCAGGTGTCACCATCCCGCAGGCAGGCGCCGGCCTCCCCTCGCACAGCCCGGCTGTCCCCCAAGGACAAGGACGGACAAGGACAGGCAGCTGCAGGCCGGGGCTGGCCGTGCTGGAGGGAAATCGCAGGAGGGAGAGCAATGCTCAGAGCCAGGCCCGGAGGGAGGGTGGCGGGGAGATAAGCCAGAACAGTGGGGCTCTGGGCTCGGAGTCGGGAGGCCCTCAGGTGGCGGAGAAATCGTGCCCCCGCCCCCAGCCTCTGCACTTCACCCCCGGATCCACAAGGCCACACAGAGCTCTCAGTTTATTGGCAATTATTTAGACAACACACACGCGGCCGTTGTCCAGGTCCGCGCCGGGACCCGCGGAGTCCATTAGTGATTCCTCTTCATAAATAACAGCAGCGAGAGCCTGGGAGGCCACGGGGAGAGCGGGCTCTGCCGCGCCCCCTGCTGCCCGGGGGCTGGAGCGCAGGCACCAGAAGGGTGCGTTTCCCCTAGGCCCCCCGCCACCGGTGAGGGCAGTGGACATTTCAAGGCACATAGGACCCCCCACATAGCAGCTCCGGGTCTGCCTCAGGCCTGGCTCACTCGGACCCACCACGCCCACGCTGTGCGCACCCCTGCGGTCTGTGGTCATGACTGAGTGCACTGCCCCATGTGCTGTGCCAGCCGGGGGCTGCGTGTGGCTCTACATTCCGAGGACGAGACATGCAGACCGGACTCCCACATGGCACCGGTGTCCTCGCACCCCTGGGGGGCACTGTCAGGGAGGGGAGTGTGTGGGGGGGCATTCCATCCAGGAAGCCAGAGGGAGGGATGAGGATGGGGCTGCTTCCAACGAGACTCAAGGCACTGACTGACGGGTGGACAGCTGGGTGGGCCTTGGGAAAGGTCAACCGGGAGAGAGGGTGGCAGGGAGGCCATGAGCTCCTGGGCCAGAGCTGCTCCCTCCCGTCCAGCCAGAGGACCCAAGGCACCCCCAGGACTTCCCGGCCAGTGCAGTGAGGTCTGGGCCCCTTCCCGCTGCGCTGGCTCGGCTGCTGTCACTCAGCACACAGCACGTGTTTTCTCCGACACTAGCCCACCAATTATGGCTTTTTGACTTAAAAATCAAAAGGGTTTTTCCTAATTGTTCTCCCTGGAACCCAACTCTGACGATGGTGTGTGGGGCGGGCCATCCTCGAATGGACGAGACACAAAGAGTTACACCCCGTGGGGTGGGCACCACATGGAAGATGCCAAACCGGAGGCGGAGTGAGCAGGGGCCCAGACCAGCGGCCCCAGAGCCGTCCGCACTGTCTGGGGAGCGGAGGCAGGCACAGCCCACAGTCGCGGCTGCACAGCGGCTCCTGCAGACGCCACGGGGGGGGGCGCTGGACCCCCACCTGGCAGCACCAGACAGGCGAAGCCAGGCAGCGCTCTGACCGCTCTGTGTCCTTCCAGGGTCTGCAGGCCCCCAGCCAGGCCCCAAGTCCAGGGGGGAGCCAACCTCACTTCCAGTCTAACCTCAAATCTCAGCATAGGGGGGGCCAAAGTGTGGCTCAGGCGGGAGGGGAGGGCCGAGGCCAGGGTCCTAATACCTAGGCCAGGCAGGACCCTGAGGTGGCGGGAAGCCGTAGGGAGGGGCCGGCCCTTGGGGGTAGGGAGGCTGAGGGGGGCCTGTGGGCTGGGGCTGGCCCGGGAAGGCGGGGAACTGGGGCTGCGTGGGGTAAGGGGGTTTTCCTCCCGCCGCGGGGTAGGAGGGCTGTTGAGGATAGCCAGGACTGCGAGTCCGGCCGCCCGCCAAGGGGTACCCGGGGCCAGAGGCACCGGGGGCGGACGCGGGATAGCCAGGCCGGGGTGGTGTGCTCCGCTGCGGGGACCAAGAGTAGCCCCCCGCAGCCCGGGGCCCCGGCTGGGCTGACGGGAAAGGGGGGCCCAGGGGCCCGCTGTAGGAGAAGGAGGGCTGGGACATGACGGGGAAGGGCGCCGGTGGCAGCGCGCCCTGGGCGGTGGGGCCCATGGGCAAGCCGGGAGACGGGCTGTAGGGCAGCGGGTAGGGGGGCAGCCCTGCCGCCTGCGGGGCCGGGGGTGGCTGCTCCTCGGCCGCAGGGGGGGTCGCCTGGGGGGCCGGGCGAGATGGGGGAGGCGGGCGGAGAGGAGGGGTGCCGGCGCCCGCGGGCTCCTGGGAAGCTCTGGGCTTCCTCACCACGTCCTGGAGCTTCTCCACACGGACCCGGCGCAGGTGCGACAGCCTCCGCATGGCCGCAAAGTCCTCTAGGAACGTCTCCAAGGGCACCTCGCCCTCCAGGAACTTCTCAGCCATGGCCTGGGCACAAGGTGGGCGACAACCGGGGCTGCTGGGACCGAAGCCGCCCCTTCCCCCATCCCCCATGCCCCATGCCCCGCCAAAGATGAGCTGTGGCCTTCCCCCCTCACCCCCCCCCCTCCGCCTTCCCCCCTTCCCCGGCGCATCCCTGCTGACACGCCCCCATGTGCTCCTTCTGTCTCCCACTGAGTGTCAGCTCGGGGCAGGGGCTGCCGGTCAAGGCCCCACGGCCCGGCCCTGGCCTTGTGGGGCCCAGCAGCTGCTGCAGGGACGTGCTGAGGGAGTGGTGGGCACTGGCTACTGGGTCTAGTGCAGCCGGCCCGGGGCTGGCAGGGCCTGGCAGCTTCCTCCCAAGGCACAGAGACTGAGAACGCTCAGAGGGAGCAGGAGAGAGGCTGGCCAGGCCCAGTTGTGTGTGTGGGGTGCCCCAGTCCTCGGGGGCTCCTGCTGCTCTGTCCTCGGTCTGTCCCAGTTGGCCAGCTGCCCATGACCTTGCAGTCGCTCATTCATTTCTGCTTCAGCCAGGGGGCCTGGGTTCCTGCTCTGTGTGTCCCAAAGGCCCTCCCCTGGGACAAAGGGTGGGACTCATCTGTGCCACCTGCTCGTGCATCCTCACCCCTGCAGACACCGGCACTCATGTCAAAGGCTCAAGGGGAGGGGGATAAGACCACCTCACCTCAGACTCCTCTTCGATCTTCATGCCTTCGATCTGCAGCAGGTCTAACAAGGCCCCCGGCTGCAGCGCCCCCGAGAATTTCTCTGCAACAGAGAGCGCAGGGGTCAGCATCTCGGCAGTGCCTCCACGGCAGCCCTGGAGGCAGGTTTCGGCCCTGCGTGCGCCCGGCCAGGCCCCTGGCGGCTGAGAAGCTCAGCGGGCCCAGCCCTGCCCTGCCTCTCGGGGGAGTCACTGCACCATCAGAGGACGGAGCCTCACCTTCAAGGCCAGGACACGCCTCCCAGCCTCCCCGACGGAGTCCCTGGACGAGAGCGCCTCACAGACTCTGGGGAGCGCAGAAGCGGAGCTGGCCCAGCAGCCTCCCGGTCCCCCCTATGAAGTGAGTCACAGCGGGACCACCCTCAGGGCACGGTGAGGAATGCAGGGCTGGGACTGGGCTGCAGTCACTGGGCCCCCCCGCCTTGGGGGCGAGCGGGCTCCCCTCTCCCAGGCTTCCCAAGAGCTCGCCAGGCCCCCCCTGACCGGGACCCCTCGGTCAGCCAGCCTACCCAGCTTGGCCTTCTGCTCCTGGCACCGCTCCACGAGCTTCCGCAGCTCCTGGTACTTGTCCGAGAGGTTGGAGCGGCTGATCTCCAGGGGCCCTTGGAACTCCAGGTTCCGCTCGGCCAGGCTGCGGTTGGTGGCCAGCGCCATCTCCCGCTCCAGCTGCAGGTCCTGGACCTGAGGGAGGGACACCTGGCTGAGGACCACCCTACTCAGCAGGCGGCAGGCTGGCCCAGGCCTCGGGGGAACCGCAGGCCTCAGCCCATGGCGAAGGACCTGGGCTCGCACCTGAACCAGCCTCCGACCAGCACCTCCCGAATCCTAGACCATCGGTGGGTGGTGGGGACACGGGGACACTGGCGCAGGCCACAGCTGGCCCAAGGCCGGGATGGCACACCATGGACTGAGCAGAGCAGGGGAGCAGGGAGGGGGGGAGGGAGTGGGGAGGACCAATTTATAGGAAAAGCCACAGGCTTTGCAGGAAGGAAGGGACCAAGAGCCCCAACCACTTTCCACAGGATTTAGAGTAAAGAAACCCACTCTGAGGTGGCCCAGGCCAGACCACAGGCCCCAAAGGGTGAGCGAGCCAGGGACAGCGTGGGCACTGACTCAGGAGACGCTCCTGCCTCCTGGGCCACGTGACCCGCAGAGAACTGCGCACATGAGCTGACAGAGGGGCCCCCGGAACTGGCCTGACATTTCAGTGGAGTCTCTGGTTGGGTCCCAACCAGGGGAAGACCACAGAAAGGGAGATGAACTTGACCCCAACTCCCAGCCAGCAGTGCTCTCGAGCGCCGGGACCCTCTGTCGGCCTTCCCCGGGCCGCGCCAGCCTGCGTTACCTCCGGGGCCTCCTGGGCCAGCCGGTCGATGGCCTCCGGGTCGTTCTGCATCTCCTCCAGCTCCTGCAGGGTCTTGTCTTTCAGCGTCTCCATCGCTCCCTGTGGACACAGCGCCGGGTGACTGAGGGCAGAAGCTGGGGGAAGAGCCGTGTTATCCGCACATACTAATGAGCTTCCTGAGGATGCTCCCGCTAGGGCGGCTCCAGGGGGGGAGGGGTTCCCCTTGCTGCGTTCCTGCCGCCCTGCCCAGCCCTCTCCCCAAGGAGACAAACGCCCTCGGCAGCCAGAGGAAGCACAGATGGTGCTCCCTGAGGAGCCGGTGGGAGAGGCAGGCTCCTCAGGGAGCACCATCTGTGCCCCGCGGCCAGGGACGGAGGAGAAGCCGGCCCCGGGCGACACCAGCACCCACTCTGGCAGGCGCCTATCTCCATCGGAACCAGGAATGCGTCCCCCTCACCGCCGCCTCCAATGCTGCTGCTGGTTATGTTTAGGGCACCACAGCCTCGGGCCCCCTCGGGGGGTCTCTAAAACTGTCGTGGACATGGCAGGCTTAGGAGGGAAGCCGACTGAGAAAGCGAGGAGGCGGGATCAGAGGAAGTGCTACTTCCGTCCCACTGTGGCCGGTGACATCGCACCTGAGAATGCGCTGCCTGGACAGGGGCCGCCTCCGTTCCCCTTCTGTCACGGAAAGGGAGAGGCACCTCCGGGGGCCACAGCAGGTGAAGAGAGAAGCGGAGAGGCCTGACCGCACCCCACTGGCCAGGAGAGGCCCGCTTTCCCGCCGTGTCCCCGCGTAGCCGTGAGTGAGGGCCCTGTCCGGGCGCACAAACAGCCCCGTTTCGACACGTCCCAGGCAGACCTCGGAGATACCCAGTCTGATCCCAGGTCCCAGCACAGAGCAAGTGTTGCAAGAGTGGGACTCCTCTCCCGCTGCTGGAGGGCCTTGCCTTCGTCTGTAAAACACACCCCCCTGAAACGCGACGGAGCAGGATGCCTGTGCACAGTGCACGCCCCCCCCCCCATTTATAGAGCCACCCAGGCAGGGTCACATGGCAGCCGCTATCTACGGAGGCCGGCGGATCCCCCCGGTTTGCGGGAAGGACGTGCGTCTCTGTTGTGCACCGAGCCCCGGAGACACTCGCCAAACATGTAGGTGCCTGTGAGGGCACCAGGTGGGCCCGACGGTCTCTCCAAGAGGTGCTGCCGTAGTCTGAGTCTGACATGCGCTGTCCCTCCTACCTGCCAGAGTAAATTCACACCGCACCCTGCCCACACTCCCCTGATACTCCCAATCCCGGGGCTAACCACTGGCAGGGCACAGCGGGCTGCAAGGCCCCGAAGGAGCTGGGCTCGGAAGGCGCGTGAGATGACGCTGCACGAGTGACCCCCAGGAGGGGACAAGCACTTCGGAAACACGCTGGGAAAGTGCTCGGGGAGACAGCGCAGACCGGGTCCCGGGCCCTGCCTCTCACCAGCTGCAGGGCCTCGCCCATGTGTGGATCCTCATCTGTGAGATGGGTGGCGCAGGTTCAGGGAGAGGAGGCAGGCAGTGCCGGCTTAGCATGAGGCCCGCCCTGGAACAAATGCCAGCGGAAGACTCCACTGCCACAGACCTCGGGATTCCTCAGGCTCCAAGATGGCCCTGGGTCCCCGTGGCCGAGCGCCAGCCCTGCTCCACCCGGGGACCTGCCGGGACAGGCGCCCGCTCACTCCACCGTCAGGCTGAGCAAGGGGCACGTGGCTGAGAGGAAGCTAGGCAGGGACAGTGGGCAGCTGGCCAACCACACGCGAGCAGCACGGTGGGCGGTGTTACCAGCACAGGCCCGGGGGTCCAGGCGCACCCTCACATTGGGGAGGTCTCCATGCACCCACCCGGGGAGCCCTGGCAGAGCCGCGATTCCCTAGGGCACCTCTCCCCCCCCCCCCCCCCCCCCGTGTACTCCCCCGGGGGGTGTCATGATCTGGGTTTTAGCTGTCAATGCACCTCTGTCCGGACAGCGCGTTCTCAATTGCGATGTCACTGGCCACAGTGGCACTTCCTCTGATCCTACCTCCTCTGCTTTCTCCATCGACTTCCCTCTCAAGCCTGCCATGTCACCTGCCTGTGTGACCTAGGAGGGGACACTGACCTGGCACCCTGCCTGTGGCCTGATGCTCCTGCCGCCAGGCGCCACCCCATCGCCTCCTCTCCTGGCCTCTCAAGGCCCTCCTGGCATGGGGGTGCTCAGGACCCCTCACCCAGATGCCCACACTCTTTCCTAGGGGCTTCCCTGTCAAATGGGTAAGCAGCCCCGAAGCTCACTGTCCTCTGAGGTCAAAGCCCTTGGCAAACTCGCCTACTAACTTAAATCAGCGATGTCCGCCCTCCTCACTAACCACTGGCCTTCTGCGGGGCACACCAGCACTCCGTACACTTTGCTGACGTGACAGAAATAGGTATAATTCTGATTCATTCACTCCGCTGGCCACTGTGCCGGCTGCTGCCTTCATTTCCCAATCGCAGGGAGGAGGCAGGCCCTGGCGCAAGAGTCAGGTGGCGCGAGCTTGAGAAGCTGTTGCGGCACATCGGCTGGAAAGTCACCGGCTTACCCAATCCGCCAGTGAGTAAGGGGAGCACAGGCTCAATGACCCCTCACCGGGGGGTGAAAGTGGGACCAGGAAGAACAAGGGAAAGAACTGCCAAAGGGCCCACAAGCCCTCTGCCTCCATCTCTGTGGCCACTGAGCAGTCAGGAGAGGAGCCGGAGATGCTGAGCTGGCAGGTCTGACAGCCCGCCCGCCCTGCCCTCTGACATCTCAAACACAAGCCTGTCTGGTGAGCAATGTGGCCCCTGGAAGCTGCGGGGCCTTCCTTCCTGAGCCAGAGCCGCCAGTGAGCCCAGGGCAGTGAGCATTTCTCTGGTCCTTAACTGGGAAAAGGAGCCAGGGGCACGGCATACTCTGCCCCGAGGCCTGGCAGCCAAATCCCAACCAGAGCGACTCAGCGGCCGCAGCCTCCAGGGATGTCCCAGTGCAGAGGGCGGGTGCAGGGCGTTTGTGGCTGGAGGCCCAACAAGCCCAATGGCCTCGCCCCTTGGCACCCAGGCCCAGCAGGACCCCCCTCCACCTACCAAGGTGCCCAGGCGGGCGCTGGGTTTGGGGGTGTGCGGTGTCTGACTCTGCTGCCTGGAAGGAGGGAACAGGAAGGGAGAGGGAGGTGAGAAGAGACCACAGGCAGGAAGGTGGCCTGTTCTCCCCGCTATTCCTGGCAGCGCCCAGAGGGCCCCTAACAGCACCTGCAGGAGACAGACGGGCGGGGGTGGGGGGTGGGGAACGGGACGGGGGGGACCAGCACCTCCGGTGGGGACAGAACAGATATCATGTCCAGCCATTCTGCACCAGAACCCAGAGAGAGGAGGAGGATAAATGGGGCACAGGACCGAAAATAATGTTTACTCTGCGCTAGACTTGGCCTTAGATATCAAACCGATGCAATTCTCCGAACTCAGTTTGGTTTTAAAAGCAAAACGGTTCACAACGACCTGGGGAGAGAGGCCGTGCCAGTGGCGTGAGGAGGGGGCGTGGACAGCGCCGAGGACCCCCAGGACCCCTGAAGGGGCTGCATGTGCTTGGAGGAGGCCCAGGGCCCAGGGCAGAGGCTGTGGGGCCATGTGGGCTGCATGGCGGGAGAGGGAGAAGGCTGGTGGGGAAGGGGGGGCAGGCACAGCGAGAGGACACCTCTTTGGGGGAGGGGGGGGGCGACACCACCAACTCAAAGGAGGTCTGACGAGAACAAGGTGGAAAGGCAAGGAAGGCGCTGAGCTGCGCTCCCTCCGCCGCGGCCAGAAAACGTCACTGATCCTGAGACAGGTCCCAGGAGGGAAAAAGCTTTCTTCTCTGTCTCTTCCTTTTTCCCTTTTTAAAAATGTATTCTTATTGATTTCAGAGAGGAAGGGAAAGGGAGAGAGAGAGGAACATCAGTAAGAAGAGCGAATCATTGATCAGCTGCCTCCTGCACACCCCACACTGGGAATTGAGCCCCAAACCAGAGCATGAGCCTCGATGGGGAATTGAACTGTGGCCTCCTGGGTCATGGGTTGACGCTCAACCACTGAGCCACACCGGCCTTGAGCCACACGGGCCGGGCCTTTTCCTTTAGTTGTTTGTTTTGCCTCCTCCGGAGCCCACCTCCACCGGATCTCCTTAGCCACAAGCCTGAGCCCACTAGGGCGAGGCAGGCGCACCGGCCGAGCCTGATGCGGGAGTGCGTCCCCCTGGAAGGCTCGGCCTCCAGCCCAGCCGGGCACCTCCTGCAGGCAGAGGGTGGCCGCTCTGCCAGACCTGCCAGGTTCCCCGGGAGCTAGGAATCTGAACCCGCATGCTACCCCCCTCTGTAAAGGTCAGCAGCCCATTCAAAGTTGTCAAAGACACTGGAGGGTGAGGTGTTAACTGAAATCCACATGCCCTCCCAGAGAGACAGGGCCAGGGGGGCAGATCCCACAGGCCAGGGGGAGGGCAGAGGGCCAGGCACACTGCAGGGGGGGGGGGGGCTGCCCTGCACAGGGGCTGCCCGGCCTTTGCAATGCATGCTGGGACGAGGGAAGACAAGGGTCTGGTCGCTTGCCTCCCTGGGTCACAGCTTCTATATGTCTCTGTGTCTTGCCTGACTCAACCTCACATGCCTGCCCACGGGGAACATGACTGGGCGGCAAACTCTGGGCCTGAGGAGACTGCACTGAATCTGTGCCCCGGGGCCAGAGGCAGGATCTTTCTCGCCAGGGGCGGGGTGGGGCGGGGCTGCAGAATGTCCAGCTGCAAAGGTGATGCTGGGAAGAGCCAAACTCAGGGCAGCCTGCCATCCTGTCCTTACAGGGAAAAGAGAAAAAGCAACCTTTGCTGGATGTTGCACAATGAGGGTCGTTGCCAGGACTGCTCAGGTCAAAAAAGTTTCAACTCATGTCAGATCCTCTAAAGAATAAACTCGGGGTAGAGGGCTTGGGGGTGGGGGGACAGAAAGCAAAACTCAGTGCCTGCTAAGCTCGAGCTGCTCGGGTCAGAGTGAGGCTTGCAGCCCTAGAGTTGGTGGGGGCAGCCCTCGCCCAGAGCAGTCAGGTC